AGCATGTTTTCCACAAACAAGTGAGCTGGGAAGGAGCAGGGGGGAGGAAGGTGACGCCGCGGGGGGAGGGAGGCGATGCCGTGGGGGGAGGAGGCGACACCGCGTACCACCGGTTGAAAAGCCCTGTTTTAGATCATTTAGGGGAAAAATGAGATAAACTAGGCAAGAAAAGTAAAAAGCAAAAAGAAATTAAAATGTGGGAGAAGATGCAAAAAGGATTAAACAGATAGGAGAGGGGAAAACATTTAGTGGAGAAGCTGTTTCATGTAACAAGAATTTCAATTATAAATTGATAAGTTAATTATTATATGGCAGAATACCTTTTTCAAACTTAACAATACAGCTCTGTATAATAATATGAACTAATTTTCTATTATGGTACATTCACCAATAATTTGAAACTAGGGGTGAAAAGTGCAACCTAAGTATGCATACCTGGAATTATTTTAGTTAGTGAAATTATTTCTAGGTGGACCAAACTGTCATTAAATTGTGCTGATTATAACCATAGTCAGTTTAAGTACTTATAAAACTGGATGTTTAAATGGCATGTTTTATTTATTACATTTATACCCCGCCCTTCTCCTGGTGGACTGTCTTTTAAATTTGCTTGTTGGATATTTTGTTGCTTTTATTTGTTGTCTGCTGTTATTGTAGTCTATAATTAAAATAGTCATTAAATTGATTTTCATTATTGTTCATAGTACATAGAATGTAAGGACATTTCTTTTAGATTTGTTGTTATTGTTTATAATACTAAACTTCATGAATATCAACTGGATTTTACCCTTTAAAAAGAAAAAAAATCAACAAAGTTGAACAATTTAATATATATTGCTACCTCAGTGCTCATTCTTAATTGGTTCTGGGAGGTGCAATGAGTACGAAAAGTACCAAATAATTTTTCCTATTAGGAATAATGTAGTGAGTCACAAGGCAGCCGACAGCAACAGGTTTCAGCTTATGCATTGAGTACCAAATGATGAGTACCAGGACAACGTTTTCACATCAAAATGCGTTGAATACCAAATTTGATGTTTCAAAATAGTTGAGTACCAACTCAACAGTTGTATACCATTTTTTATTTATTTATTTATTTATTTATTAAATTTATATACCGCCCTATCTCCCTTACGGGACTCAGGGCGGTGAACAGGCGATACTAAAAACCACAATAATAAATAAATAGTTTCTGTGCTAAAATCAAATTAAATAACAGGCCTGTTCTAAAAACACCCCATACAAAACCCCCACTAAAACATAATCAAACTATGCCAGGCCGGCCGCACGGAATAGATGGGCCTTCAGGGCTCGGCGAAAAAGGCACAGGTCCGCAACTATACGTAGGTCGGGGGTAGGTCATTCCAGAGGGCAGGAGCTGCCACAGAGAAGGCTCTCCCCCTGGGGGTCGCCAGCCGGCATTGTCTGGCCGATGGCACTCTAAGGAGGCCCTCTCTGTGGGAGAGGACTGGTCGAAGGGAGGTGTTTGGTAGGAGGCGGTCTTGCAAATACCTAGGTCCATTGCCATGGAGCGCTTTAAAAGTTGTTACTAACACCTTGAAGCGCACCCGGAAGGCCACCGGCAGCCAGTGCAGCTCGCGCAGGAGAGGTGTTACATGGGAGCATCTAGAGGCCCCCAAAATCCCCCGCGCAGCCACATTCTG